CCCGGCGTCACTTGCAGCTGGGCACGTCTGTGAGGACAAGACGCCTGTGGGCGGGGGGAGGTCAGGTGACCCGTGTCGCACCTGATGGTGAGGGGCTGGTGGCTCGGATGAGTGGCCGGACGGCTGTGGACAGGTGACCCGGGGGAGTGGGGTTTTTAGCACACGGACTCGAGTTGCACCGAATGGAAGCACCTGGGCCGGGGGGCAGGGGGCCAGTCCTGTCTGGTGGTCATTTCAGCAGCTTCTTAAAGTGCCGATGGCACAGGAAGCTGCGCGAGGGTACGTGTGCCAGCCTCTGTCCCCACCATCGCCACCAGGTTCCTGTGCCGCTGCCACGGCCCACCCTGGCCTGAGCTGTGCTCCTCTCGTGGCTCTGGCGTGTGCACTAGAGATGGCCTTCCGTCCTCTGGGTGCTGAGGTGTGTGCCCTCGCTGTGGAGGGGTGTCTGGGTGTTCCTTCCGGTCGGGGCCTCACAGATGCAGCTGTGGGGACTCCAAGTGCCCGTCTGTCTGGACGAGCCCCCGCTTCTCTGGGTTAGATGCCAGGAGGGGAATGGGGGTCCTCACGTTAAGAAACTGCCAAATAGCCCAGCCAGTTTGGCTCAGTGGATAGAGCGTCGGCCTGCGGGCTGAGGGGTCCTAGGTTCAATGCCCAGGTTGTGGGCTTGGTCCCCAGGAGGGGGCGTGCAGGAGGCAGCCGATCAGTGATTCTCTCTCATCATTGATGTTTCTCTCTCTCTCCCCCCGCCCCTTCCCCTCTGAAATGAATTTAAAAAAAAATTAAAAAAGAAAAAAGCTGCCAAATCGTTTTCCAAGTGGCAGCGCCCGCTGGCCGGGGGAGCCCTTGCTGTGGTCAGTTTGTATGATTTCAGCTCTTTTAGCGGATGTGCAGGGGCAGGGATTGGTTTGCCTTCCCAGTGCCAATGACAGTGAGCATCTTTTCATTTCTGACAAATCTGTTGCCTGTTTATTGATTGGTGAGTTGTTTTCTGGCTGAGACTTTGAGAATTCCTTGTGTATTCTGAATGCAGGTCCATCTTCAGATCCAGGGTCTGCAGATGTTTTCCTAGTCTGTGGCTTTATTTTTGCACACCCTTTTTTTATACATATAATTTGCATATAGTAAAATTTACTTATTTAAAACGTGGTCAGCGTGAGGGACGTTCCGTCACCACAGCATCCTCTTGCCCAGCCCCGGCTGCCTCGGAGCCCTCTGTCCCCGAGTTCACCTTTTCTGGAATGCGTGTGAGTGGGTGAGAGGCGTGTGTGGGCTCCCGTAGCCTCACAGTCATTCTGTCTCCATGTCCCGACACTTGTCTCCTCTGGGTGTGCGGTCCTGGGTGTGCGGACACAGGCTCTTTCTGCTGGGACCTCCCTGGCAGTGATGGGCACGCTCTGCTGGTTTGTCTCTTGCTGTTGTGAATTTCCTTAACAGATTCTGACATCTGCAGTCCTGTGCGTCCCTCTTAACGCGCAGTGTGGCATATTTTTCTTTCTAGCCGTTGGCTCTGCAACAGCCCTGCACATTCCTGTCCACTGAGCTCTTCAGGGAGGCAGTTGTGCCTTCCCCTGTAGATCGCTCAGTGCACAGCACGCCATGCAGCCAGCTCAGTTGCTTCTCCTCCTGGTTCCCAGCGTCCGGTTGGTGACCTGGTTCTGTCACTTCTGCATCCCTAATAGCCCTCACATGCTCCTCGTCCTGCTTCTCCACTCAGCTGTCGCCTTCGTCCAGCTCCCACCGTCCTGGACGCTTGAAGAGCCTGCCACCGGTCCTTCCTCCTGCCACTGTCTGAAGTGCTGGTCGGAGGCACCTTGTTCCTGTCACACAGCCTGCTGTCCCCTCACACTCCTCGCCCTCACCCTCCACCCTCTGCTGGACACCCCTTGGTTTGCCCTGGGCTTCTGCACAGATGCTGGGTGCTCAGCAAGCGCTGGGCAATGCCCGGTGGGGGCTCAGCAGGGCGTCTCCGAGGTCAGCCGCTAGTTGGTGCCAGAGTGCACCAGCACCCAGGCGCGGGCCTCTCTCCGCTCCTGTGAGGCCAGAGGTCATTCCTCTGCCTGTGTTTCTGGAATCCCGCCAGCTCCTGGACACTGGCCTGGGGCGAGCCTGTCTGTCGATGGCACCAGGGGCCCTTAGGTGCTGTAGGACTAGGGGTCAAGGCTCAGCTCTGTTTCCGGCAGCTGGTCTCCTGCCTGATGTTTCTGTTTTTCCTTCTGACTCTCTCAGCTATTTCATCCCCGTTCGAGGGGCTCTCAGCCCACCCACTTCGGAAGCAGCCTCTGCTTTCCTTTCTCTCAATCCGGGCACACTCTCCTTGACCTCACACCGTGGCACGAGCACGCCCGCCTGCCACTCGTGTTCATCCCGGCGTGCACACACGTGCCCACAAAGGATCCGTGTGAAATTGTGTTTCCCCTTGGTGTTCTGTGCCGTTCACTTGTCTTTCAGCTGCATTGTCACACGTGGGTGATGACCAAGTCCACGGTGGGGGTGTGGGGGTGACATGGCAGGTTCAGACAATCTGTGTAAGCGATGGGCTGTGTTAGAGGCAGGAAGTGGAAAAGTGCATTTTGGGGGGAAGGCGATACATGTGCTTGTAAATTCAGAAGGTGCAGGAGAGTGTTCACGTCCGTCTCACCTCTCTTTCCAGCCTCCCGGTTCATCCCAAGTCGGCCCCCCTTCCCGCCCCTCTCACCCCCCCCCCCCCCCCC